TCTCAGCTCCAAACAAATGGAGGGAAAAGGGGGGAATAAGCAGACAGGTCTCAGTCACCACAGCCAACCGACTGATAACAATAATTTTTTTCCATATAAATGCCAAAATAAGATCTTTAGACGTTTTTCACCTCAGAATTTTGAAAAAATATTATTGACCAAAACCGGGTGTTTTCTCAGCCTTATTAATCAATTGCAACATCCTCATGAAATAGGATTAGCAGCCACATGTTGGTATGGGGTTTGAGTACGTTAAGCTTTCTTTGTTATTCACTTCCCGGGTGGAAGGATCTGTAGTTCAAACTGCATCAGTGAGCTACTGTCTTTCTGTTCCTGTCAGTTCAGTTCCTTTTCAGAAATTTAAGCAGATGGAAGTTAAAGTTAAAATTGGTCTAAAAGAGGGATTTTTGAATAGATTTATTGATGTTTGTTTATTGTTAAGATGAAGTTTAAGTGCAGGTAAAGTGTAAAAAACTGCAGTTAAACTGCAGAAAAAGTACCAGTTATTTCGGACAAGTATAGTTTCTGGCAGCTCTCCCCATTGGTCGTGCTAGTTCCCACTACAGTTGCAGTAAGGAAGTATGGGGCGATTTGTAACAGGGGCGATTCGTAACAAATGCGTTTATTAAATTAAGTGGAGGGAGCAAAGGAAAATCTGAGTATGGCCCCTCTTTCGCTTCAAGTACAGGGTCCTTGAACAATCGAAGCGGATGTGATCGGTGCTCAGGTATAGTTTTGGAGGGTGTCTGAAATATAGGGTACACCGAAATTTCGGCAAACAGGCAAATCTTTTATTTTGAGTTCTAGGAAGTTTCTGTCTGAGGCTCCCGAGGTATGAATCACCATCGAAGTACCGTTGGGGCCTTGAAGCGTGACCCCTTTACAATGTAAACACGCGGCATAAGTTGCTTTTACTTTGTCTAGTGATAGTTAGGGATTGATTTCTTGCGTAACAGGCATTTGGGGTGATTCGTAACAGACCCGTATAAAAACAAGAATTTAAGTAGTTTTTGCTGTTAAATGCTTGAATTATTACTCGAATCATCTGCTGTTTTATTCCAATACATTTACACAGCTCGAAATGCATTTTAAAGCGAGTTATTCTATACTTTCCTCTAAAATTGAAAAAAGTGAGGTTAGGATTTACATAGCCTATCAGTTAATGCTCAGGCGGTCAAAGGCAGCTTGTAACGTAGATTTTTAGACGTCTGCAGGACACCCGAAGAACAACTGGTGGAGGAGATACCATTCCCGACGATGTTTCATTTAATGTGTAGGATGTTATGAAAAGCCACATGGCTGTTACAAATCACCCCATGCTGGGGCGATTCGTAACAGCATGCAAGGGTTTGGAAAACGTCTTAGATTTCAAAGATTACGGACTGCAGATTGATCCTATGGAGCTGCACAGTCTAGATGAAGGGCCAGACAGCTCAACTGGCACAAGTTTGACACCGTTATGCAGAATGTTCTTAATTTTGTATAGAGAATTCCGAAATCTGTTATAAATCGCCCCACACTCCCTTACAGTTAGATTTCAGTTCAGAGCGAGAAACTACTTTATTTAGAAGTAGTTGCACAACTCAAGAAACGGTGCAAACTTCGACACATTAAATGTGCGAATCCAACTTAGATTCTACTTGCAAAATAGGGTCAGGGCGGGGAAGAAGTGGACGTTTTGCAATCTTTCTCGATTTTGACTCTAATTGACTATCTTTAGCCTATGTATCCGTTGGGTCCGTTGATCGAGCCTCAAAGAAAGACATTTCAACCCCCAGCGAGTGCGTTTGCGGCTTCATTCAGTAATAAATGAGAAAAAACAGTGTGCGATTCTTCCCCGTCGAAACGGGGAAAAATCGAACACCTAAGGGGAAAAATCGGACATAGGCTTTAATTTAACAAAAACCTATGATATAAAGTAGGTCAGAAATCTCTTGGGAACGATATTTGGGGGTAACACTTGATCCAGGAAGCGGAAGAAGGGAATAACTTGACTTATCCCCAAATTGAGTTTTTATTTTATTATTGTGCCTTAGAATGGTTTACAGAGCCAAGTCCAAAAAAATACACCAGAGTAACATACGCTTTATGCAGACTATTGTTCCACTTGACTTGTCTCCAAATTCCTCTTTGTTTAGGAAATATAAGGTGAGCTGACTCTGTTTTCCATTTCAACGGAAAGTCACAAGTCGCAGAAATCCTCTACGGAGTGACCTTACACTTTTGATTCTTTTTTCAAAATTTTACTAAAGCTTTTTGAAATTATTAACATCTGCAACATTCATTTGTTTTGTTTTAGTTTTCCCTGCTGACAGTTTTTCGTTTCTCCTGAAAAATGGCCAAAATTGAGTTATCCCCTTCTTCCGCTTCCTGGATCACTTGCGATACCCACTGAAGCAGGCGCACGAGTATTCCTAGGTAGACAGAAATCATCGTAGCATTGTTAGGGGGTCCGTGGCGGCACGTTTTTGAGGTTAAATGACCAAAATGTATGAAATCGTCAACAGCCGTGTTTGTTTTCCCACTAAATGTTGGGAAATGCTAAAATACACTTGTTACGACCACTTTGGTGGGATGTTAGGGCAATTCGTCGATTATTATAGAAAAATGAGGTGTTCGATTTTTTCCCGCACCAGTGTACGGTTTTTCCCCGTTTCATATTTAACCCTTCATATGTAATCCAGCTGAAAATCTGCTAAAACATTTGAACGTATCTTGGGCTTCACACTTCCAACTTTCGTTTACAATAAGAATATTCGTCGCAGTAGGCTCGGAAAGTCGTTGAAAAGAGATATTGCGGGCACCAACTTTGAAAGTTTTTAAGGTGTTTTAAACGAGACCTCGTTTAAAGGTGACTTTGAATACTTTCCGGTTCAAGTAGGCTAAATTCCTCTTAAACGCAATCTAGCAGATCATCAATAAGCAATACTGAATACTTTGCACGTCCCAAAACAGGCAAATTTGTGGCGGAAGCGCGGTGTGCGTTTCTTCCCCAACTTGCAGGTGTCCGGTTTTTCCCCGCCCTGACCCTATCTGATTTCCCTCTCCATGTACCTTTACGCTTCTATGTCAGTTTCCAAAGGAGGGGTTTCTTCAAATGAAACTAAAGAGACATTGTTAAATGCACCACTTTTATTTAACAGTTAACAACAAAATGGTGTACAGCCAGATATCAGTTTCCCATGCATAATGACGTTACAGTCCTGGCTCGCAACCTGCAAGAGTAACGGCATAAGTGAGACACTGGCAGAAAATTTATTAATAAAATGGTGGCGTTTCACTTTACTCACCTAGTTTCAATTCGCCCCAATTAATAGCCATCCTCTATTCAGTTTCCAAATCAATGGTTTGGGCATTGGTCATCAACGAACACCTGAGCACATATAAACAAGAAATATGAAGTTGAGATCTATTATAAATTAATCAACTTTAAGGGGAGGTTCTGGTGAAAATCTTGCTATTTTCCAAATGGATCCCACTGTCACAATTTGTTCGGAGTATAAAATCTTTCTTTGAGGAGACTAAAATTTGACTTTTGAAGGCACATGCCAGGCTCTGAACCCAGTCGAAGAGTCTGTTTGAGCCTATTTTGGCTGTATCTTAAAAAATCTTCTTGCCCATACTATTTTTTCGTAAAAGGTTGACCTTGACATTTTTCACTTCTTCGATTCATTTTCAAAAGATGCCGGCATGTATAGCTCACAATTTCCATTACATTATTAATTGTATGCTTTTTAAGCTGAAAAGTCCCTAAAATTTGTCTATTTTGTACATTTTGGGTCAATTATAGTGAAATGCTTGGTTATAAAGCTTACGAATAAAATTGTAATTTGCGTTTTGAGTTCTGCATGCCGGCATCTTTTAAAAATGAATCGAAGAAGTGAAAAATGTCAAGGCCAACCCTTTACGACAAAATAGTATGCGCAAGAAGATTTTAAAAGTTATAGCCTAAATAGGAGAAAAAGGCTCTGGGACTGGGTTCAGCGCACGGAATGTGCCTCCCCATTGAAAAATTTTAATAATTACTTGGTAAGACATCAAATTTTTAACAAATTTTCACAGTGGGACCTACTTGGGAGAAAAAAGCATTTTCACCAGAGCCTCCCCTTAAGACATGAGGATGACTCACCGATAGTCCTCCCCAAATGTTGATTGATAAACAACTCATGTTGAGAACCCCCTGAAGACTTTAATAGTGAACATGGTTAGGCCATCACTTCAACGCTGTGTGTTATGCAAAGACACCAGTAGAGCACCTGTCGAACAAAAAGAAGAACCATTCACATAACAAACTGGCCGGAACATTGAGCAGAAGAACACAACAAATGAGAGTGCTGAAGATGACTCACCGAGCATCCAAGTAGTCTACTAGAAACTATTTGTTCAGAAAAGACATGGGTATTCTCGAGTCCTCTGAACCGATTCAAGCAACACTGCCTCTGTTCATTTCAACATTCCCCACATGTAAAGAAAGCAAATATCAATATTTAGCTTAACACGAGAAAGTTCTGTGAGGGAAGAAATATGGAAAATGGAGACACTCACACACATTCCATCTTGATCACCATGGGTCACACCAGCTTCTGAATGGAACACAAGACGACTCCATGGTTTCTGTGGTTGACTTATCAGGTGTGGCGTGTGGAGGTTCGGTAACCAAAGTGGAGGGAGATAGAGTCTGGGATCCTCTGAATCCATTCCAGCCACTGTGAACGTTCGTCTGAATACCCAGCCTGCTAAAGGAGAATGCAAGTAACAATAGTTAGCCTTACACTTGAAAATTTTGAAGAATGAACAAGATATAGCTCAAATAATAAATATAAGCACTTACGAACGTTCCACGCAAAAAGAATCTTCTCCCCCACGAATCATAACACCATCAGTTTACTATTCGCTTCAGTGTTTCCTACGCGTTGTGTGTCATCATGCCTCGCTCGTCTACCAAGACTCCGGAAGATCGTCATGCGTTGGTCAAATGGACCGAAGGTGTCCATGCCGGCATGTACACACACAATGCGGCTTTGGACTGGATTCATGATTTTGATGCTACGTCTCCGCGCTACCCGGAAACGCACGCCATCGATTGGCCTGTGCCTCCCAAGCCCCGAAGCGGATGGCCCGTTATTGAAGGGCTCGTTTTGGACATCAGCTGTGAGTTCCCCCATTTCACCTGCCAGCTGCCTCTTGTATTTTCTTAGCTGTCTGACTCCAATGAAATGCCGCACGCGCCGCAGGGCTCTCTTGCATTGTCATGTTTCCTGTTGTCTGTTACCTTTTACTCATGAGAGGTTATCTGTTCCAGCTGATCTTGAGTACCTCAAGTCTAAAGCTGATCAGCTTACCAAGAAGGACCAACAACGCCTCAACTCCAGTGGAAGGAATGACAACGAAGATGCTGGCTCCTCATCCAGTGAGAGAGATTCCAACCTCATGGATGTCAATTCAGAAGGTTTGTTTTCCCACTCCAGTTTCTGATTTGATTGTGTAGGCTCGCATTGTTCACTTAAATCAAAATTTCTTTCAGCATTCATCGCTTTAGTTGCTCGTCTTTCGAAGAGTCATGCCAATCACAGTCCTGGTAGTTCCTCCTCAAGCAGGAGTTCTTCCTTCAGCAACAGGAGTTGCTCGAATGAATCTACTTCACCTCCGCCACAGCAAAAGGTACATCATTTCTGTATTTTTCTTGTGTCACAATGCAAGTTTGTTGCCTCACGTTGCTTCACTAGTTCTACTTTGTTGTGTATCTTATCATTTTATCTCTTTCCCCAGGTGAGCGTGGTCAAGAGTTTGTGTGTTGACAAAACTGTCTACACATTGGCATTGAATGCTGGTTCACCAGGGCGCATGGTGCGACCCCTACTCCGCCAGGCTTTCTCCAGGCGACGTTCAATTGCCTCCACATATGCTGGTCAGAAGAGGATGGTGGGCGGCACCCGAGATAAAATTTCTCCAGGCAACTTTGAGCAAAGGTGAGCAGGGGTCGAGCACAGCCCGAGCCCTGCCCGGCACCCGGTGGGCAACTACCGGGCAACTACCGGGCAACACCCGGGCAACACCCGGGCAACTCCGGGCAACACCCGGGCAACTCTGAGCAACTATCGGGCAACTTTGGGCAACTGTCCGGCTTGTTGAGGCATCACCCGGGCAAAGCCCCCAGCGGGCAAAAGTGCGCACCAAGTGACTCCAGCGCAGCGCGGCGCCCGAACTGCGGCTGCTTGGCCAGAGCGCCCAGCCCGGCCCGCCACCACGGAGACACACTACCAGATAGTGGGTCTCCATGCCGCCACCCTGAGCATGGGCCGGGTGGCGGCCCAGACCGTCAGAGGAGCAGGCCGTCGCACAACCCGCTCCGATCGGCACCACGCTTGGCTTCGGCTGCGTAGCCGAGCTCGCAACGCGCTGGCTCGCTGCGAGCGGCGGTCGGTTCGATGCCAGGCAAGGCAGCGCGCCGCTCGGCAGCCATCCTTGTCTAACCCACTAGCCGCCCTGAGTGCGAGAGAGATGCAAGATGTGCTCGTTTGTCGAGCGTCGAGCGCCGCCATAGGCAACCAATCTCACAGTGCAGCCAGCTGGTTGCCTACTCCTGTCCAGCAAGGCGCGCGGCAAGCCACCCTTACGCGCGGCGGCGGGAGAGGGAGGGGTGAGGTGAGCGTCTGCCCACCTCTGCCTCCCTACCCCTCCCCTCTCACCCTCCCCGCGCTGTGCGTTGGTTGAAATGGAAACAAACACCATGTTTGAAACGAAAAGGTTTGTGATGCTGCGGCCGTGTGATATTGACGTTGAACTTCTCACGTATCTTTATCACAATTTCGTGGCTCGCTTTATCCTTGCCCAGCGGTTCTCAACCTTGGGGTCGCGAAAAAATTTCGAGGGGTCGCGGCGAGGTAACTGGGGTCGCTTGGGGTGGCGGCGGTTTCCCAGCTGGCCCACACGCCGAGCACTGGCGGGAACAACTTTTAAGTTGATCAAAACGGTCACAAATGTCTTTGAAAAATCGTGTTTTGGGCCGACGTTAGGCATCCACTGCGTCTGATCCGAGGCGGTACTTCGTCCTCCCTCAACGGGCAATTGGTCTTTGGACCTTCCTTTAGCATGCCTTTGTTACGGAGTTCGATTATCTGCCTTAGTTTGGGAGCAGTATTGCCGCATAGTTGATCAAAACGGTCACAAATGTCTGAAAAATCGTGTATTGATCAACTTTGCGGCAATACTGCTCCCAAACTAAGGCAGATAATCGCACTTCGCAACAAACGCATGCTAAAGGAAGGTCCAAAGACCAATTGCCTGCTAATGGAGCACGAAATACCGCCTCGGATTAGACGCAGTGGCTGCTTAAAGTCGGCCCAAAACACGATTTTTCAAAGACATTTGTGACCGTTTTGATCATTTTTGCTGCAATACTGCTTCGAAACTAAGGTGGATTATCGCATTTTGTATCAAAGGCATGCTAAAGGAGGGGTCACGTGGGGTCACGAAATTTTTCCTGGGGGTCGCGGAAATTTTTCGCTACAAATTTGGGGTCGCGAACCGAAAACGGTTGAGAAACGCTGTCCTTGCCCTTTATTCTTGCCGCCACCGGCCGGTGGACCGGTGTGATCGACGCTCGACGAGCGAGCACATCTTGCATCTCTCTCGCACTCAGGGCGGCTAGTGGGTTAGACAAGGATGGCTGCCGAGCGGCGCGCTGCCTTGCCTGGCATCGAACCGACCGCCGCTCGCAGCGAGCCAGTCGACCCGCACGACTGGTGAACACGTTACCGAAATAAAATTATCCAAAGGATTGACATAGTAGCCTACCAGTTACGCCCGAGGTCATCCTTTATTTTGATGCCTAGCTTCTTAACTGGGTCCCACGTCTTCTCCATGATGTCAGCATTGCATTCCCACATCTCCGTGATGGCCGCCTTCATGGAGTTGATGTTGTCATCCGTCAACTGGTGATTGGTTGGGATGACATCTTCCGTGATGTCATCAAGCTTGGGGCATTTGATTTCCCGGCCGAAGTACTTCAGAGCGCACTTCTGGTCGTGTTGGTAGAGCTCCCTCAGCTGGAATAGGGACACCCTTGTCTCACAGTAGAAATCTTTCTGCCAGCGATTGAGGTCCACCTGCCGACGCTGCCTCTTTGGTCTAGAAGCCATGTTGAACCTGCCAAACGAATAAAATTTACATGAAAATTGTGTTGTTTTGAATTAAATTTAGTACCTTAATATTTATTTCCTTTTCCTATCACTGGGTATTTTGCTCTATTTAGAAGGTGGTGGCACTGTTTGGCTGTATTTTGCACTATCTCGTAATTATTTCACCCCGCGTAGTGTTTACTGTAGGGTTTTTATTTCTCTTACGTTGGTAACAACGGTCAATGGTGTTTTTTTATTTTCTTAAGTTGGTAACAGTGAGCTTTTGGCGGTTATCGCGGTCCGCGTGCCCTCTTGTTAACAAAGACGTATTGTGCAGTGCCTTACTTTTGAGAAATTGGAGTGTCTGAAAATCAAGAAACAGCCATGCATCTACTGTGCTGCTTGTGTAGCGGGAGGCCGTTTGCTACTGCTACACCAACGCAAATGGTGGCCCATCTGCGTGGAGTTCATCAAGCAACCCTCGAAGACGCCAAGAAGAGGTTAGCAACTATCCAGGAAGCTGCAAAGAAGGGCCGTCCTATGCTCGGCCGCTCCTGCTTAGAACACCTCAGTAAGCTCACCTCTGCAGATGACCTGAAGGATGCTCTTGGACTTCAGATAACTCCGGATACCACCAATGATGGAACACAAGCCGTAAGTGCACCTAACTCGCTTCACGAGGAGAGAGAGAGAGAGACGACAGACACAACGACAAGGGCTGAGGGTGTGTTCAGTAGGGTGGCTTTGAATCCTTGAAGCAGGGCGGTCACTGTGGTCACTTCGGGTTCCTTATAGTCCATTCGCTTAACGATTCGAGGAGGGAGAGAGGGAAAGAGAGAGAGAGAGAGAGAGAGAGAGTCGATTCGCGAGGAGCAACGACCAGGGTTGAGGGTGTATTGAGTAGGGAACCTTCAAACCCTTGAAGCAGGGCTGTCACTGTGGTCACTTCGGGTTCCTTAAAATCGTTACTGCATGGCGGTGACTGTGGTTACTGCGGTACGGCGCCCCACCTTATCGCTGTTTGATTTTGAAAAAAAAAATTGAGCCAGCCAAGCGGTCTTGGCTTGTGAGGTTGGGGGGTGGGGGGAGGAGTTGCTGTGAGGAGTGAGGAAGCCGCGCGGCTGCGGCGGCGCCGACGACGAACCGTTAGCCGGCCAACGAACAATGCAGGCCCCCGTCAGCGCCGCGCCTTAGATGGATGAATGGATGGATGGACGAGTTGATGGACGTATTGATAGACGGACTGATGGGGAGCGATGGAATGAATGGGAGTGGCTCCTAAAAAATGTTTTTGTTTCAGGTACTTGTTGAGAATGCTCAAGCACCGGTAGCACCCACAACAAGCGACCAGCGAAGGGGGAAACCAGTGGCAGAGGCTGTCCTCCATCACTTCAACGTCACGCCAAACCACTGCGCTCTGAGGGAAGCCGCAGAGATGTTTACGACCATATGGGAGATTCTTGACACGGAAGTTCTGCAGGGCCTGTCACCATCAACCAAAACCTAGATGAGAGTTACCTGCCAAAATCTCGTGAACATCTACGCTTTGCTGGCATTCCAAAGCACTGGGACGATTGTGTGGAGGAAATGGCTTGTGGACCCGGTGTTCACACCCAAAGTCATCAAGTAGGTTACTGTCAATGAATATTTGTTAGTTTATTTGTCATGGTTACTTTACCTTTTTTTTGTGTATAGGTTCATAGAAGACAATACATCGACTGGCATGTCTTCCTAACTCGCGGGGCAGCAGCACTTGGCAACGGTGTGCAAACTTGATGACCGGTTTGCTGACCCAGTTCAGGTCACAGCGTTGTCAACGCGCAAGAACTGTAAGCTCAAGGCATCTCGGAAGCGTGTCTTGGAGGAGCGCCCTGTGGTGTCTGCTAAGAAAAAGAACACCAGATACTTAACGCACCACAAAACCGAGGTAAGAATTATTTAACTTTTACACTTTCTAAAAGTAAGTTAAAACTATTATTTCATATATTAAATTTGATTGGCTGAGCGATAGCGAAGCCTGTTACTCCAGTGCGGTTGAAAAGTTTTTTCTGTCTGTCTGTGTGTCTGTCTGTGTGTGTACACTACTCCTCCTGAACGGCTCGGCCGATCTGGCTGAGATTTTGTAGGCTGATTGGGCATGTTCTTAGCTCGGCACACGCGAAATTTCACTATCCTAGCTCAACTGGTTCAGTTTTTATAGCCGAAAAACACCTAAAAAACGGCGAAAAATCGAGTTCTCTGCAGACAGATCACTTCTGCCTTGAAGAAAGGGGGGTCTGGGCGGCGGAGCCCCCCAGCCCCAACAAGTCAAAAAGTTATAAGGGTCTAGAACGTGTTATCTGTAGATGAAACAACTCTACCTGGAATGAAGGGGGGTCTGGGCGCCGCTCCCCAGCATGCAACAAGTAAGAAGTAACCGACGATGGAGAAGCCAATGCCTGCCGAAGGAAGGCTAGCGCCGCAGGCCAAGGTAGGTACGCCAGGCGCGGATGGAAGGAACAGGCCGCGAGACATCGCGAAGCCTGTTACGACAAGACGCGGTCTGGCGTAAACCTACCTTGTTAACAGAACACACTTACAAAGACGGCTGCTGCTGAAAGGGACCAGTCACTCATTGGAGAGGCCAGGGTGTACCTGAGTGGGCTTGTGGAAGGTACTGAGGTGAAGACCAGCCGCAAATGGAATGCTGCGACCCAGGTTCTGGCTCTTCACCTGCTGACATCTACATCACAGAGGCCAGGCCCCGTCGCCAACCTCACTGTGAGGGAGTTTGAGGGAGCGGACCTACACTGTTAAAAATCCACTGTAATATTACAACACAATCACCTACAGTAATGCTGTTCAATAACAACCGTATTGTTTTGTATCTGAACGGGAAACCCATCCAGAAACAGCACTTTCGTTTCATGACAACTTCCTTGTCGAGTAACAATCATGTAATCGTGATTCAAAACAGTTTTCTTGTCGTTGAACAGGTTTCATGTTTAGAAACAGCCTTTTGCAATCTTAAAACATATATTGTTGTCAGGTTACAAGGGTCTTGTTTAATAACAGCACGATGAAATCAACACAAATGTTGGGAAGACATCGTCCAAGACTCCAAAGAAGTATTGTTTTATTACAATCGAACTGTCAGAAAACAGCACCGAGGGCTACAACATGCTTGTAATAAAACAAGTCGTGCTGCTATCAAACTTAACAGCATAAGTGCTGTTAATTTACAGCACTTTTTTTAACAGTGTACTCGGAGTACCTCACTGATGATGTCGAAGTGGCAGGTGTAGCTGAAGATCCAAACCATGGGGTGTGTACTGCATCTACAAAAAATTAAAGAATGTCTTAAATTTTGTTTACTTATTACAGTTTGAAAAGTAACTTACGTGTGTGATGTGCTTTCTGTAGGCCCAGGTTCTTTCGGTAGCCAACCACAAGACGAAGAAGACGTTCGGCGCTGCCAACCTGATTGTTTCGCCTGATATGCTCGACCTGTTCGAAATGTATCTACTGCTGCGTAGGAGAGAGGGGGCCACTGAGGATTCAAGATTCCTGCTCACCTTCAAGGAAAATCCAGTGGGCAAGTCAGACTTCGTCTTCCGCGCTGTCAACGCCAACCTTCCCGGTCAGCCGAAAGTCCAGGCTGGCATACTGCGGCAGGCGTCCAGCACGAAGGTGAGGGCTACTGGCAGCGAGAAGGACCAGCAGGATCTGGCCCTCGCTATGACCCACTCAACGAAGCAGCAGAAGAACACGTACGACCAGTAGAAGGCAATCAAGAGCAGGTCTGCGGCTCTGCGCGCCAAGGCAGTTGTGAATGCAGCTCTCCCGCCGGTGTCCACTGAGTGACCTGTTTTTTGGTGTGTGTTTGAGTGTGCGTGGTGATTTTCCAGAGACGTTCGCGCCTGGTGTCGATATCACCATGCACCCGGAGCGGTGGTGCTGGCGTTGCCTTAATTGGCCGCGCCCCCACTAGCTCCGCCCGGATTTGTCATCCTCTGTTGTGACGTGCTGCGGTGTACATACTGTAATTTTGATATTCTTCCTTTGAGAAGTTGAAAAGTTACAAGGGTCAAGATCGTGTTATCTGTGGATGAAACAACTCTATCTGGAACGAGGGGGGGTCTGGAGGGCGGAGCCCCCCAGCATGCAATAAGTACACTGTTAAAAATCCACTGTAATATTACAACACAATCACCTACAGTAATGCTGTTCAATAACAACCGTATTGTTTTGTATCTGAACGGGAAACCCATCCGGAAACAGCACTTTCGTTTCATAACAACTTCCTTGTCAAGTAACAATAATGTAATCGTGATTCAAAACAGTTGTCTTGTCGTTGAACAGGTTTCATGGTTAGAAACAGCCTTTTGCAATCTTAAAACATATATTGTTGTCAGGTTACAAGGGTCTTGTTTAATAACAGCACGATGAAATCAACGCAAATGTTGGGAAGACATCGTCGAAGACTCCAAAGCAGTATTGTTTTATTGGCAGAGCGATAGCGAAGCCTGTTACTCCAGTGCGGTTGAAAAGTTTTTTTCTGTCTGTCTGTGTGTGTACACTAATCCTCCTGAACGGCTCGGCCGATCTGGCTGAGATTTTGCAGGCTTATTAGGTATGTTCTGGGCTCGGCACACGCGAAATTTCACTATCCTAGCTCACGTGGTTCAGCTTTTATAGCCGAAAAACACCTAAAAACCGGCGAAAAATCGAGTTTTCTGCTGGCAGATCACTTCTGTCTTGAAGGAAGGGGGTCTGGGGGGGCCTCGACAAGTTAAAAAGTTACAAGGGTCAAGATCGTGTTATCTGTAGATTAAGCAACTCTTTCTAGAATTAAGGGGGGTCTGGGGGGCGGAGCCCCACAGCATGCAACACGTAAGAAGTAACCGACGATGGACAAGCCAATGCCTGCCGAAGGCCAAGGTAGGCACGCCAGGCGCGGATTGGAGGAACAGGCCGCGAGACATCGCGAAGCCTGTTACGACAAGACGTGGTCTGGCGTAAACCAACCTTGTTTATTGTATTATTTAATTTGTAGTAACAAAATAAACCTTATAAATACAATACAATTACTGTCAATTTCAATTGATTCTATATAATAGTATGATATTTCAAAATAAATTCCACAATTCAAAACTGAACTAGTACTCTCTCTCCAAGTGAAACCGAAGTGATGAGAATGATCGATGCTCTTAACTCAGAAATTGTTGAAGGAAACAAACATCACTCTACAAAAAATGTCCTGTCAACGCCGTTAATTTATTACCAATGTTTGCTGTTGTGCAATTCACGGCGTTTGCTGTGAACTAATTCACGGCGTTCACTGTGATCTCGGTTACAGTGTTCACTGTGATCTGGCCACAGTAAACGCCGTGAATTGGAGCCTGATTTGCAGTACTTCGGTGCTTAGCGGCGTCAAACTCACAGTGTTTACTGGGGACCAGATCACAGTGAACACCGTGAACAAGATCACAGTGAATCCCGTGAGCAGATCACAGTAAACGCTGTGAATTGACCTACAGTGAAAACTGGTTGGCTGAGCGATAGCGAAGCCTGTTACTCCAGTGAAAATCATGAAAAAAGCGGAAAAACTGAAATCGAAGCCCGATGGGTTGCCTACCTTTTGAGAGCGTTTCCCGGCAGGGCGGTGAGCAGGAGTTCGAAACTTGCGCTAACTGTCTGGAAACGCGTGATTGGAAAATTCTGAATTTTTGGGTGTCTGACAAGGAGGCCTTGGCGCATCCAATGCCGCGGTCGGCATGGCCGTAGCCCTACTGATTCAGCCCCTACAAGGGCGCAAACACAGGGGTTGTTTTTTCGTCGAAACACAGTTTTTAGGCTAAAAATTGTGAAGAGACCTTAATTCAAGGGCTAAACAGAATGTACCCGATGGCTTTGGCTGTCTGGGAGGCCCACCCAGCGGTGCGGCTGTTTTCAACCCCTCCGCTTGGGGGTTGTGCACCCGTAACTTGGGGGTGTCTTTGCGTGGTTCCAAGGGCAGCTATCGACATGGGACCTTTTCGACGCTGTTCAGGGTCACGTCTACCAAAACCCTGGTGAGTTTCACCCCCATCCGAAAAGCAGAAATTCCGCAAATCGCAGGGGGTTGAAAGGGGGTGAAGTGTTTCGGCCTCTCCGAGGGTGACAACGGGGTGCACAGGCTCAGACGCGGTATCCTCTTGATCAGGGTGACCAAGAGGATGACGCCAGCCCGATCTCAGGGCTGTACCCCAAGAATTGTGGATTTTGAAGGGGGGTGGGGGTTGTAGGGGGTGGGTTTGTCCAAGAGGTCTCTCGGGGGTCGCATTTTGTAGAGGACGTGAAGGGCAATCGCCCTGTACCGTTTTCCGATTCTTTTGACCCCCGAGTGCCAGGCTGGTCGCTTCTAAAGTTGCGTTTTTTTGCACTTCAAATTTGCTGGGGGTGAATCATCCCCTCCCGGTCCAACCTCGTCAGTGCAACTTTGCACGCGTCTTCAGGACACTTGAGGGCAACTTGTGTCAAAGTTGCAGCCTTCTAGCTCTGAAACTCGAGATTTGAGGTCACTTTGAAAAAGTGTCCCCTTAATTTTTTCCGCCAGTGTATATTACCCTGTGGAGGGTATATACCCTCGGCAATAGTTAGCATATTTACCTAAGTGAAAAAGAAACTTCAAATTATTTAATATTTCTGACCATGAGAAATTGTTTAAAAAGCGGGTTTTTTCTAGCGGCGTTCACAAATTCCGTTAGGACAGGACTTTCCAGTCGGCCAATCGCAGCTTCAACCCCGTAAAACATAGAAGCCAATGTGGTTGCCTACTCAATGGGCGCCATGCAATGACAATTCGTGCCAAAAATGACACACTGCCATACCTCGTTTTCACACTCTAAGGCCAAGTTGTCGTCTGCCTGGACCACTGCGTCCGCCGAGAGATGTAAACTTAGTGCGGTCTGCGTCTCTGTGTCCTGTGCAGAAAAAAAGTATTAGAATTGAGGCGGGCGTGTGTGATTTAAGAGGAGGGGCGGAGTATTTAGATGCTTCAGCTAAACATCGAGTAAAAATACACGTCACACGTTCAGTTGGAGTCCTGTTTAGCGACTCTGCAGCCCAAAACGCGTCTGGCTTGCCTGCGCCGGTCTCCTGGCCCACTGTGCGCCATGCCCAAAATGGCTCAAAGCCTTACCTGGGTTTCACACTGCAAGGCCGATTTCTCGTCAGCCTGCACCGCTGCGTCCATCGACAGATGGACAAGACTGGCTGCCTCGTCACGCCTTGCCTCCGCATGCTTGGCCGCCTCTTCACGTTTCGCCTCCTCCACGGCAAGCTTGATGGCCGCAGCATCCTTGGCCGCCACGTCGCGCGTGACGACCTGCACGGCAAGCATCATCATCTCGTCGTGCTTGGCCCTCTCTTCACGCCTGGCTTCCTCCACGGCACGCTTGATGTCGTCGGCAACAATTTGCTTCGCCTGCTCGATGAACATCCTCGCGTTCTCCGTCTCGTCGTCAGCGGCCTCCCCAGCAGCCTCGGCGGCCTGCCTCAGACCCTCGGCTACCGAGACCTGCCTGGCAGCCTCGGTGGTTACCCTGGCGGCCTGCCTAGCAGCCTCAGCCTCGGACACCTGCCTGGCAGCCTTGGTGGTCATCCTGGCGGTCTCGGCCTCGGCGGCCTGCCTGGCGGCCTCGGCTTCGACTAGCCGCCTTGCGGTCTCGGCCTCAGTGGTCGACCCGGCGGTCTCAGATGCCACCACAGCTGTGCGTTTAACCTCGGAATTGTTGCTGGCCTAAAAAGGGCGAGAAATTGTTGCATAAGGAAACGTCTCACAACTATGGAAAATTATATTTCGTAGGGGGGGGGAGAGATTCTCTCGTTTGGAAAAAAGATAGGGTGGATAGGCCATGCCAACGGAACGTAAACGTTTACACTGAAAAACCAAACGTGCACTGAAAATCCAAGTGTGGGACAGGCGTGCACTAGATAGCGTGGGACAAACTGTCCCACGATATTGTTTGCGTCCCGTGTTTGGGCTAGGGATGCAAAAATACCGGTAAGATTCAAAGTTACGTAAATTACGGTAAAATACGGTATTTTACCGTATTATACGGTAAAATTGGGTAAAATTGATTTTTCTTGACTTAAAGAAGTAACTGTGGTTCTTCTTGTGAAATAGGGGGAAAAGAGGTTCATTTGGGTGAGGGGGAGGGTGTATCATTAATTATCGGCCGCATCGTTCCAAACATGGTTGCAAACCATCATGACTCAAGGACAATGTCGCATTTGAAATAGACAAGGACGAAAGACCCTGTGGGTCAAAAAATGAACTATTCTCCCACTAGACCCTCCCAAATTAATTTTGAATCTGACTGCTTTTCACTTATTCCTACTGGGCTGGATTAAGAAATGCGTAGAGCAGCAAAGTTAACAGCCCAAATATACTTAAGAATTAACAAAACGGGCGCCGTTTTTCTCGTAATCCAAGTAAGTTGTCTCAATTCCATGAAGAAACTTTTTTCCTTAAAGGCTGCAAGGTGTCCAACAACCATACCAATGTTCATTACAGCTCAAATTTCTAACAAATATCTACCCCTAGATTTACCTCTTTTCAATTTTAAGTTAGTTAAAATTATATGAACCTTGGCAACAAAGAAAGGTTTTTGATTTGCCTTTCGGAGATTGGGGTCGCGTAAATGGATTTTGATTTCCACAAGTTTTGCAAAAGAAGAGAACATTAACTTCTTGTTAATTTTAAGTGGCTAGACGTCTTACACGTAAACGGGGTGGCACGAGGGGCAGATACAAACCAAGAGTTCAAAAGAAGCGCTATTTTCAGTCCGTACGTCCTGTATAATCGTATGGAAGCTAAAGAAGTTGAAATAAGTCAATACTTCAAAATTACCGAAAAATACCAATTTTACCGGGGTCTCCGTAAAATACGGTATTTTACCGTATTATACCGTTCTTTACCGGTAATATTACCGGCCTTTACATCCCTAAAGGAGCACCCAACCTGCTTATGCGGCTGGCACGGGTGGCTCTCAACAATACAATGAAAAGCTAACAGGCGGCCCTCATTGGACGATTCTTCCAAGTTTCCTGCTGCTACTTTCGTAAAATTGCTGCTCACCAGCTGCCTGCGTCAGTTAGAACTACGCTCGGTAGTTCTTCATTTCACCTCTATCCCGCCTATCTAAATGTATGGGAGAATTTCTTCTCTATGCTTGACTTCAAGCGTAGTTGTATGCTTGAATGAAGCATACAACTACGCTCTAGTTTTACTAGTGCACTACATGCCCCACAACCAACTGTACCGCTTCGTATCTCTGCCAGAACGCCAGCCGCTGCCAGCCACCAGAAGCGCCCAAAGCCTCGAGTAGGGTCAGTTGGGGTTATAATGGGACACCGGTGAATTGGGTAAAAATGGGACACCTTCTATTGGGGACAAGATTTTACATTTCACAACGTCATACGATAATATATTTATGCTCAAAACATTCGTCATGCTCCCTAGTATCCCATTTTACATACAGCAAAACGATATCTGCTCTCAGAAAAATGATTTGAGAAGTCTAACGGAACACTGCACACTGCAAATGCAAAGGCGATACTTAAGTACATTTTTTGGCGATACAATTGAGTAAGGTAAGGTTACCAAACATGGATCACTTTTTAAATAATCTTGTCTATATCGTTGCCAACTATTTTTTAATCTAATGTTGATGATTACGTTACTGGTCATATGGCTACCAAAAATGGTACCTCTGACTTGAATACTTTGGAAGTTCTGAGGACAAGAAAATACGGCTGTTTTTGCTAGGGTAAGGTTAGGGCGGTCCAATCATGGATCACCCCACCAGCGTATGGACACCAAGCAAGGTATGCATTCAGTAGTCCCAAAATATCAAAGTAGTCTGTCTAAAGTGCACGATGAAAAATTTTGAAGTGACTGCGGTGATTTCTTGGCCCAGAATCCGGGATTCAAAAATCACCTTTTTGAACGTCATTTTTCAATCGATTTTCGGGGGACTGTTTTAGGTGTCTTTCTAAACGCAACCCTCCCTGCAGAGTAGAGAGAGGCAGTTGTAAACTTGTTCGCTTCACATCTAACAGTCAAAGGGTCAGTCCAAGCAAGGAAAGACAGAAATTTAGAATCTGGTCACCTGGTCTTTAGATATAGAACAACTAACAGAAATGATCCGTGTTTGGTACCCCGATCCATGTTCGGCACTTTACCCTATCGCCAATAAACGGCCTTGCGGAAAAATATTGCCTTCAGAACGGTGATACACAGAAGTATCGCCAAAATTTGGCGATACTTTAGGGTATTGCCAAAACCACGGCATTTAACTAAGAACTCGTCCCCTTGATTTGTTCAACGTTTTGTGCCAAATCGTGGCAGTACTCCAAAGTATCGCCAAATTTTGGCGATACTTTAGTGTATCACCGTTCTGAAGGCAATACTTTTCCGTACGGCCGTTTTTTGGCGATACTCAATTCTATCGCCAAAAAAGGTACTAAAAGTATTGCCTCTGTATTTTCAGTGCACCACGATTCTTCGACTTTTGTGACCCATTTAAATGCTTTATTCTGAAAAGGCGCAACTTTTCATTTCAGGAAATGTGAAAAGACACCTAATATGAAATTTAATGCTAGTACGGACTGCCGATTTATTCAGGCCAAAGCCCAATTTCACTGAATGTGCCAAAAAATGCTAAAAACAGCGATTTTTCGACTTTTGTGACCCATTAAAATGCTTTGTTCTGAAAAGGCGCAACTTCTTATTTCATGAAATGTAAGCAGACACTCAAAATGAAAATTTAATGCTACTATGGACAGCCTATTCATTCAGGACAAGGCGCAATTTCACTAAATGTGCCAAAAACAAACATGAGTTTAGTTACAAAAGGTCCTTTTACATTACAAGTCAAAGCACGACTGGCAGTTTGATACGGTTCAACATATCTTCAGATAGAAAATGTTTCCCAATACTATTCCAACTAACAAATATTTGTCTTGTTTTGCAGAACCAAATGCAGCAGAGATCGATAATGCCAATGATGACGCCAATACAAAATCAGCAGGTCGTCATTTATGACTTCTAGAAATATCATTTGAATTGGCTAACAAATACACACGTTTGTTCTTCTTTCTTGCTTTAGAAGTGGACACAAAGAGGTTGCCCGGCTGCGTGAAGAGGCAAAGAAGGTCTTGGCCAAGAGAGCAAGGGAAAAGAGAGATGTTGATGGCGATTCCAGTGCCGACAGTGCTGGTGATAGTGACAGCGACTATGATCAGGCAAAGAAAGACAGGTGTCATGACTTAGCTTACATGGCCTCTGAAGGGTCAGCCATTGATGACAAAAGCAGATTGAGAATCCTGCTTGATGCTGGAGTAGTTGGCTGCTTGAAGGGAGCGGCTGTCATTCGTCGTCAAGACGATGATTAATTAATTAGTCAATAGTTTATTTCTTTCTTTTCTTTTGTTTCTTAGTTTAGTAAGTTGTTAAGTTTGTTAAATTGTTTGTGTGTGATCGTCAATTGCAATGGAAATTCACAGTATTATTTGATCTAGTGATTTTAGAATAAATAAACTTTGAAATGAAGTTTGAATGCAAACACGCAATGTCTACTTGACCTGCCGGAGGGAAAAGACCACACCATAAGTAAGTGTTTTGATTGCCACAATAAGTATTTTCAAATGAAGGTTGTCGTGTTCTAACCCAGTTTCTTTTTGGCGAGCGATAGCGAGCCCATGCCGTGTTTGGGGGTACCAAAAAGTGACTGGTCGTGCGCACTGTTAAAAATTATGTTGTAATTTAGCAGTAAATATGTTGCTAATTTTCTTAGCGATCAAAGTTGTTTTTAAATGACTTTTGTTGTTTACTAACGAGTTGCGTCGTTCGTCCACCACTCTAAATCCAAAGGCAATACTTTTAGCACCTTTTTTGGCGATACAATTGAGTATCGCCAATAAACGGCCTTACGGAAAAGTATTGCCTTCAAAACGGCGATACACAAAAGTATCGCCAAAATTTGGCGATACTTTTGAGTATTGCCCGGGTGGAAGGAACTGAAGTTCTAATTATATCTGGGAATTGCAACTTTACTATTTGTTAGACTGTACGCCACATACTTTCTGTTTATAAAATAACTTAAGTTTTACTATATTCAATAAGTGTAGCCTATTTGCAGACGAACAGCAGTCAGACTGCAGACTGACCGATGCAGTTTGACTGTAGTTCAACTGTAATTTAACTGGTGAAACTGCAGTCTAACTATAGTTAACTATAGTTGAACTGCAGTCTGTTTACAGGAAAACTGGTAGTTTTTTCGGACAGAGCAGTCTTGTCTGCAGTTTTAATCATGGTTTCATCCCGCCAGTATGACAGAAGCTTTAACTCGAGTTTTATATTGAAGTTAAAATTATTTTCGAGAAGTATTTTCTGAATTTTAGTCACAAGTGTGGATTTGGAAATTACGTTCAAATTTAGTTCTGCAAGCCCCCACTGCCGGCCCTGGCCCTACTCCTTCCATGTCCTTTACGTGGTTGTTTGTAATGCTGTGCCATCTCCGCGATGAGAGTGGAACCCGGTTGAAGGCCGGGCGGGCAAGTCGGGTGGACCAGTCCATGCCACACGACAAGTGCTGT